GTCACCACGCTTGGTAGAAACATTTTCCCAAATCCAGTTCCATACCAAAACAAACTTACGTCACCACGTTTGGTAGGAACATATCTTTTTATTTAGAAAGATATAAAATACCCCTTTTATAAATCCATAATAAAACCCAATAATAGACATTTTTAAATTATATTTAATGTCTAAAATATTCAACATTTGAAAAAATCAAATATAGGTCACTCGGATAAGTTATCCGAATATATAATCCGGACAATACTAACTCTTCTTGTCTGATATACTAATCCAGACAACACTTGGTCGATTTAGGACTAAATCGTATGACTTATGTCCGGTTTAAAACAATCTCGACAACACATGATCGGTTTAAGACTAAACCGCGTAATACGTGATCGGTTTATAACTAATCCGCACAACCCTTAAGCGATTTAAGGCTAAACCGCACAATACTTGATCGGTTTATAACTAATCCGCACGACCCTTAAGCGATTTAAGTATGAACCGCACAATACTTGGTCGTATTCATACTTCTCCATTCAAAAATCTTTGTCCGATTTACATAGATCAAAATTCTCACTAACACCTTAAATCGCACAACACTTAAGCTATTTATAAATAAATCGGACAACTCTTATCCGGTTTAAGAGTAATCCGGACAAAGCTTTGTCGGGTTTATACATAGTCCGATCAACCCTTGTCCGATTAAACCCAAATCGCACAAAACCAGTTTTAAGAATAATACGCAGTTCTTTCTATAGTAATAATAAAAGCTTTTAAAAAAGTATTTTTAGAAATCACTCACCTTTAAGTAAGAACTCAGATTTGAAGAAGATGCAAAACCAAAATGAATAACCGGACAACACTTCTCTTCAAAATTCTCTCAAAACTCAAATGAGGCAAGAAGAAACTCAGTTTTACCCAACTTCCAATATATATAATTCTTGAATTGGAAAGTCGGCTACTTCCCCTTCCCACATGTATTCATGTATATCATTTCACACATGTATACACACACCCACATACATCATGCATATATATATATATATATATTTACATATTATGCATATATCCCTATGCATAAAATACACATACTTACGTATTCGATCTATGTAAACATGTATCCATATAAACAATTAATTCACATAATAAATACCTTGGGTAATAACTAGGACCCGGTTATCACATTATCCACCCCTTCAAAAGAATTTCGTCCCGGAATTCCTTTAATTAAAGAGCCATGGATAATCTGCTCTCATTTCTGACTCCAATTCCCAAGTTGCCTCTGTTCCTTTGTGAAACTTCCACTGTACTTTAACCAGACTGATTTCTTTGTTTCTTAACACCCTGATCTTTCGGTCAATTACGGCTTCTAGTGTTTCTACAAAGTTCAACTTGCTGTCCAGTTTGACCTCTGGTAGCGGTACAGCGAGAATCGGATCAGCTAAACAT